AAAGTTTAGGTAGAGAGAATTCCATATCATTGACTCCATTCATTAGTCCTCATACACAACTTTTGTATTATTCACGATCGGATGCATGATGATTATATATTTATGTTTTATTTTTATTATATGGTATTCGTTATTATTATTATAGTAAAAGTCATAATTTATAATGATTTTGTATACTACAATAATACAATCCTCCTCATTTATCCTTCTTCTTAGTTATTCAATATATTTTTTAGAAGTATTAAATATAATTCTGTGTTCGGTAGTCAGAAAGAAAGTTGTAGTAGGTAGTAAAAAAAATTGTTTAATATATTATAGATACCTACTACTTATATATATCATCATCATATCTATGTATATAAGTTACGAAATTATATAAATAAATATACTTTTTCTTTAAAATACCTACATATATTTTCATAGGTACATACAATCAAGCATTGTTGCTCTACAAAAAAATATTTTCTCAAAGATCTACAGTAACAACCGCTATTATCTAGAAATAGATTCGGAAGGTATGTATGCTATTATTGCGTCCAATGAGAAAACAGTGCAGCTATTAACTATGCCTCCCACGTCGTGTGAATACTTTTATGATTATCATAAATCAGACAACAATATTACGGACCAACTATAAAATAGTCAACTGCACTATATTATGTTATATTATAAACAAAATACCTACTCATCCATTAACTCCATGTGGGCATATAGACATATTTGATTACTATTTCTTAGCAAATATTGTTTGACAATACAAACAAATAGAGGTAATTTTCATGAACATCACATTGTTTAATTCCCAGAACATTAACATACAAATTAGACTTATAGTTAAGGGTAATAAATACTATTTTCTCTTACCATTTTATAAATAGCCATATGATGATAATAATAATACATAATTTTCGAGTACTCAATTATTCAATATAATTTGTAGGGAATGGTATGGCTCTATTTATTATATTTAAAAAGTAGATAGGGGTTATTCTATGAATTAATGTAAGATTTAATAATATATATTATAACAAACATAATTATATTTTTGTTGTAATAATAGGTGAAAACTTTTTGAATATTTTTTGTCTATCAGAAGATTGAACAATTTTTTTTATTAAGGGCCTATTATTGTGTATTTTAGAGCTGTAGGACTGCGAGCTATATTTAGTCTATTGTGCTCACCCTCTTTCAAAGTTCGCTTTAGATCCGTCAGAGACTAGATTCTTAGGAGTGATGGTTTTTATTTCCTCACAATATAGCGTGTACTTTTAAAAGGAGATATTTCGTTAATACTTGAGTGGGCTACAACCACATAGTATGTATAATAACGTTTCCTCTTCAGCTTGACAAAAACTATAAATTTTTGTTGAGTATAGGCCGAAGTTTGCCATGTGTTTATTCAATTTGCAGTGTTCACTGAAGGCTCATGATGTAACTAGGCAACCTTTGTGTTACAGATCACCATGTTAAGAGAAAAGTACCAATAGAACTTAACGGTAAAAATAATATATTTAAGAATATTAAGACAATATTTTGTAAAAAGAAATTAACCATTACTTAAAACCTCCCCTTTCGTAGCACTATACTACGCATCTACCCGGGTACAGTCTACACGTAATAAATTTCGCACAACAATGCATTGACAGAGTTTGCACCCCTATCTGTAGCCTCCCGAATGTCCTTTATGAACGAGTAAGGACACTCTTATTGCTTTGTAACAGGGGCGATTGTAAGTTATAACTATTGAGTAATATGGGTGTCTGGTACTGCATGAAACGAATAGTTTAAGGGACATAGGCACATCAGAATATTTTATATTTAATTTTAATTATACACTATTAATGTCCGTCTGTTATAATTCAACAATTAAATATGACAATTTTTATATTAGTATTATTTATTTTAATTCAGATTACATCCATATTGTGTTAGTAAAAACTTATAAAACTATGTTAGTAACTTATAATATACAGATACAGAGACACATATAATTCATATATCTGTGTCCACGTCCAGAAGCACTGGGTCCACAATGCAACGATATCCAGTGCATCTGGAGCGGACAATCAGGTATACTCGCAACAGTTGTTAGGATGCTGTTTGTGCTCTCCCAAATTCACAGTCATCAGTGATGCAGCTCTTTTACGCATTATGGCTTGAAATCTATCTACCCGCACCGCTGCATACAAATATGACTACACTAGGATTTCCTGCGGCCATTACTGATCTGCAACAAGTGCATTGTAATGTATGTGCACGTAAAATTAAATAATATAATTTATCTATAATGACAACTTCTTTTCACTTCAACTCTAACAAAATTGGTGCCAAAACCCGGGACAATTTAGTTAAGAGTTAGAGCCATATTCAATTGTTGACTTAAACACTGCCCGTTCACTGAAGTAGGTACTAGTAAAAGACATTATATCAATTGTTCTGTCAATTATTAGAATATTTAATGAAAAATATTCAGTTTTTCGCATATTTTTTAATATGTTCCTGTATACAAACTTTGTCCCTATAAATCGTAAAAGTCACAAAATAACTGCAGCCGTTTTGAAGTGATGCTTACATATAAAATCTACAAATAATCTGTTCATTGAATATATATATATATATATGCTCTTATGATTTATGAACTCGTTGTATTCTATAATAGATATGTAGTTTAGTAGTTTTATCTTTCTGTCACAATTTTAATTTTGCAAAGTCATCGAATACAATTGTCAATTTTGAACTATACAATTATGATAATAATTTCACAGTGCTGTTACATCTTCTTCCTTATCCTGTATAGTAGTAACGCCGTTATCTGTAATTCATACTATTAAATTTATAGATATTATAGAAGTAAATTTTCATATACATTTCTAGAATTTATATCATGCATGGTATAATAATCTACTAAAAAGTCCCACTGCAGGGCACGGGTGTCTTCACATACGAGATTATTATTCTTAAAACTTCAATATTAAACTTTGTATTATTTACAATTTCTTAGTAGGTTAGGAGAATAGTAAAAAAGTGTTTTCTATTGTTTCATTGGTTTTTGTGGACTTGACAATTTGAGCTTTGTACCAAATATATATTTTACTTTTGTAATTCCATAACATTAATCCATACTACGTGTTGCTGTCGTACTGGCCATATGGTTTTATATCGCATATATAAATCGTATTTTTTACTATTAAGAATTGTATTGTATATTCTTGTATAGAACTTCAGTGTCGAATAAAAATTGTGACAGACAACGACACTACAGATTATAACTATACAATTATAGCCACTCTTAATTTGTCTATTCGGGTTTTCGACATCAAAAAGAAGTGGCGACATTATTATTTGTAATGTATTTCTAATATATTATTCGCATTAGTTTGTCTGCATGTAATTTATCTGTTATGCGTATTCTAAATTATACGAACCTCACATACCCACCACATAAGACACGTGAAACAATGTTAACATATATTATAAATTGTACTCTGTCTCTAGGACCACTCAGATGACCATTAGCGTGGCTGGGTGCAGCTGACATTTTCGCATGTGAACTGCTCAACTCGTCTTTCAATTTTGTGTCCTAAACTGTATCAATTGAGATATTGGACGTATATACATATATGTGAGTGCTTTGTTTTTGTGTAAAGTTAAACAAAAAGTCTATTTTATTGGAAGTGTAGTGACTGAGGTTAGTGAAATAAATAATTATAATGAACTGATAATGAAATGATACTTCATTGTAAGTTAGGATAGATTTAATCACATATTACTGAAAAAAAAGGTTAGAAAATAATTATTTTTATAACGTATATTATAAGTATATATACTTAACAACATACCATCGAAGGTTGGTTATCATTGAATTACTTGAAAGGTTGTAGATAAGATATATAAAAAATACCATACCCTAGTAGACTATGTGTATATTGGTGTGACCAATACTTCTTAACTTTATTTTAGTTATTATTTAGATATAGTAGATACCTAGAATTCTGAAGCACTACTTTACCCATAGAATCTTAAATGACTCTATTTTTACAAATTCTACATTGAAAATAGCTACTTTATAGTTACTTATTTTCATGTGTTTTTTTATATATTATAAAAGAATTATACATGTGTTACAAATACTCACATAGTGATGAATAACTTTATACGATAATATAATTAATATATAATTATACGTCAAGATACAATTTACATAACTTAGGCTTGAAGTGAAAATATACAAGCTATTATATATAGGGCTAAATATAGTTTTTGTATTATAAACTTTATAAACAAGTTGTATATGGTTTAATGAAGAAACACTCATACATACAATATAACGACTATGACTTCCACTTTTCACATTGGCATGTCACTATGAAAATATTGGGGAAAGTGCGGTCATGTAAATAGTGTGCTACACTAGTGGTGTCAGCGACGGCTACACTGTCTCCCGACGTCGCGGCCGGTCGCACACCAAGAGTAGTGGCTGCTAAATGCCGCAAGTGCGGTGCTACGTCCCGCTTGCACCGCCACATTCGGCGCACCTCTCGCTCGCGCCGGCGCGAACACGTGTTTATTTGTATGTTTTATCCTTCGGCGGCTTTAAACCCAACCCACTCCGACCGCAAAGTGCGCTCCGCCGCCCGCCGCGCCCGCGCCGTCGCCGCCTCTCGCTCACCGCTGCCGCTGCCGCGGAGCCGCACCGACTCGCCCGCGAAACTTTGTCCGAAGTCGACGGGCACGGACGTACGCCGCGTATTAATAGCCACCGTGAACGGTCACCGCAACCGAGGGCGGGCACACATGCCGCGAGTCGCACCACAACCGCGCGCCCAGACGCACGCATAACACGCGACTAACACGTAAAGCATAAATACACCGGCACGTAGACACGTACGAAGCAAAAGTGAAACTAAACACGTTATTCCAAATAGTCAAAAACGAACACCGAAAGTGAGAGGGACGTGCGTGCGACGACCGTAAATACGCGCTACGAAAAAAGTGCCGTCAGTGAAACTAGTGAAAAGTTTTTCGCCGCGCGCGGGGGAGCCACCCTCTGCGCCGGAAAAAAATCGGCCCCTCGCGTCCCTCGCCCGCCTGCCGCCGAACTTTTCATTCACCGGGGAAAAAAGTGTGGCAAGGCCGCCGTGACGTCACAGCGTCAAGTGGCCACGCGCGCGTTTCCTAGCAACGAATCTCGTTACCTCATCTTCATAAAGTTTAGCTCGTGTGTAGAGAAGAGCGGGTGAAAAATGGTACTTGTGAATGAAAATGTGGTATCGGCGCGATGGCTGTCGCCGGCGTGGAGGGAAGAGTGACATGTAGCGAAGGGTGCGAGCACAGTGAACTATATGTGTAGCACGCAGCGCGCACGGGTGTCGAGGATGCACCTGACGGGCGCGAGCAGCGGCGCCGTGTCGCCCGACACCAGTTCTACATTGCTGCATGAGACGTACACGAAGATGACGTCAGACATCCTCGCAGAACGAACTCTTGGGGACTTCCTGTCCGAACACCCAGGGGAGTTGGTTCGGACAGGCAGTCCTCACTTCGTGTGTACGGTGTTACCGCCTCACTGGCGGTCGAATAAGACGTTACCGGTGGCGTTCAAAGTGGTGGCACTAGGCGACGTTGGGGACGGCACTCTGGTAACAGTTAGGGCTGGCAACGACGAGAACTGCTGCGCGGAGCTGAGGAACAGCTCAGCAGTGATGAAGAACCAAGTGGCAAAGTTCAACGACTTGAGATTTGTCGGCCGCAGCGGGCGCGGTGAGTGATGAAGGTGCAGTTATGTCATACACAATGAGTTTTATTTATTGATCTGAAAGAAAACACATATAAATTTTATACTATTTCAATAGTTATTACAACATATCTTATGTAAAAATCTTATTCATTATGTTTTAATTTATTTAAAATATATATTCTAATACATATTTTAACTCGTATAATACGAGTAGAGGAATATTTCAAAGAAAATCAACTAAAGAATTCTTAAAACATATTAACACATATTTGACATTATTTTCTACTACCAGTATCTGTTAAATTTGTTATTAGCCGGTACCAGTATATACTTTAGATATAGAGTTAGCCTACTTATCATTACATAATAATTAAAGCAAACAATATTTTATTCTATTAATATGTTGACAGTATATTGGTCTAATTTTGATCAAAGAAATAACAAGGAATAAAATGCACTTAGCACGATACAAAATAAAATACAATTTATTAACAAATCTTCATCTTTATATTCTTTCTTTATATATACATTTAAATACATTAAAAAAATTACGGTGATCACTAAAATAACTTGCATAAGTATTTAGAATGAAAAAAATCTATTAAAGGTAAATACTTAACAAAGTTTTAAGTTAGCGAACTTTGTGACATTGAAAAGCGTTAGAAACTTTTTCGGAACAACTTAAGAAGTTACGTGAATGTCAAATAATAGGGCGGCAGACTTGGGCGGCCATTTCCGCCCAACGATACGCCGCCCGCCCTTTCTTTAAGAAAGTAAACTTTTTACAAATACGAAATAGGAAGTGATTTGTGAGAAATTGTGTAAAACGTTCGGAACACTGTTTATATTCAGTCATCTGTTATCATTTTCCATCATGTGGGCTATATATTTGTTTCATTTCTGGTTGCTTCGAAAAATGTATTCGTTAGGAGTTGAGACATATTTTATAAATGAGAGCATTTTTTTTTTAATTTGGACTGTTTAGTATGTTAGACTAAAAACGGCTCACTTCTCTGTAATTTCGTAATATGTGTCTCTTATAGCGTCTATTCTCGTCTTTAAGCATGATAAGTGGTGAAAATAATATATTTTACATATTAAATAATTAATTTGTACATAAATAATTTGTTTGTGTTTGTATGTATAAATTGAACAGGCTCTTGCTCGATATCAAATTGTAAAACTTTTTTAAACCTTTTTTAGTATATCCATTATTTTTTAAAATTAGAAGACTATTTATATTTATTGTATTTCGTTGTAAAATATTAAATTATAAAATACATCGATTACCTACATCTTCAAAGAAAATTATTTATATTAAAATTTAATAATTTATTACAATTTATAATACATAGGTTAAGTAGTATATTATCTATTTAAACAATCTATAAAATACATTAATATTACAGTCAATTATTAATTCCTATAGATATAAGTAGGTAAACAAAATTATGTTCATTTTGTTTTGATCATTAATTTAGTCATATTATTTTTTTATAACTTAGATATAAATATATAACTTTCGTTATCTTACCATGTAATATATATTGGTGTCTGTCGACGACACACATATTCTGTTGAAAATATTATATTTTTTTAATTTTATCGAACATGAGATAAAGAGAGAGTTTTACTTTCCCTTCAGCTTATCAAAGTTTATCTCATTTTCGAGAAAATTTTCTAATTTTGTTTTTTAATAGAATACATTTGTCATCGACACCAATAAATATAACATTGACTTGAAGAAAATACGAAAACAATGAAATATAGCGTCATTAGTTACATTGCAATTATAATTTATTCCAAAAACAAATAATTGTTGTTTTTCCTATTCTAATATAGGTAGGCAAAAGTTTCTAGACTAAACAGACCAAAATTTAGTGGAGTTCTATTTTGCTAACTTTTATTTTAATAAGGTTCTCAAGAGTGTTATGGTTCCGGTTCTAAAAACAAAAGAGTACTCTATGTATTCGAAATATAAATAGAAAATTATGTCTCGCCAAACTAAATTACGTTATTCAAAATGCGTTAGTTCCAAATTAAAATATTTAAACATTGTTATCTCAAACATTATTTACTCATTCTATAACATGGGAAAGGGTTCGATAATGTTAACATAGTCATCATTATAATACCTTAAGTAACCCTTACTACACGCATGCATCTTTTCTCATAAGAGTAACTATTTTACAGTGTAGGGGTTACATGGCAGTTTTCAATATCATTGTCCGTTGATTTTAATAATTTTACTGCTTACAAGGAAATTTACATGTAAATAAATTATATTTATTTATTCCTTGTGAGAGTCTGGAGTCTTAACTAGGTCAAAACCTGTATTTCTTTTAATGTACTAGTATTAGACGGCTTAGTTTTTTCTACTAATGCTGTTGTTGATACTAGGTATACTTTTTAAATATTATAGCAGTTATTGCTTTTTATAATTTGTCATTTTTTAATCCAATAAATGACAAAGAACTGTACAGAAGTTTATTTCCTAACAGATACCATTTTTACACTTATATTATTGCTGACAGAGTCTGTTTCTTTTATTATGACTCAAATGTAATTTTAGGATCAATATAATTATCAAACGATTAGCTTATTTAATTGTAATGAACCAAAACATATAATTTTTTCATAAAGTTATGGATTATATTCAACGCAAACAAATAATGAAATCCTTCACTTTATGACATTAGCATAGATTAAGGTTTATTAACACTGCTTATAAACTTCAAAATCCAGAAGTCGCTTTTGTCCGACTCCAAATAGCAATTTAAACATATCAAACTTACAAGTAGTAAAAATACTGGTGTCTATACATCATATTATTGATTAAAACGAAGATACGATGGCGACGTTGAATTCAAATACTCTCATTTAAAAGGGGGCATATAAAGTTTTGCATTCATAACAACACTGACAAACAGTGCCTCTGTCTACCGCATTGAAGATTTGTAGCTAATTAAATAATATTTGTTTGGATATACTATAGTTGTACAAACTTTAAACTTTCATTTGATTCTGTCTTTCTTTTCCATTTATTTTCGAAAAAAACTAAACGGGACGGGGAAATACTTTCTAATATAGAAATTCTTCTAAAATATCTTGGTCTGTCTAGCTGTAGTTAGTTCTATACTAGAACGTGGCTCCTACCAGATTTGGTTGGGCAGGGTGAGAACCACAAGCAGTGAAGATGAGTGTTGACGGACGTTGGCAAAGGGCCCTAAACCTACACCCGGCCACAAATACCGGAACTGCTCGGAGATTCCATCGCTGCCACATGTTGAATCCATGGAATGTTAAGTTCGACTCTTCTATTCTAAAAATTACTTTGTATTCTTAATTAATACAAAAAGTTCATCGCACGGGTGTACAGTATACCTATGTGGCATCATATCTGCACGTATTAAAGAAACATATTTTTTTATATTAGAAACATCTCTCAAAACCCGTTAATTATTTTCTGGGATTATCTCGCACAAACACACAGACAAACCGACAAATATGTTAATAATTTTATTCTATTTCGTTGACAAAGTTTCTAATATTAGTTTAGATAGGTACTTTTAAATTTTTTTTTATTGCAATATTTTCCTCAGACATCTTACATGTACAGACAGCTATTAGTTATAATTTTATTACATATATTAATATCTTACATTAGCTAATATTGTAACTAACAACCAAAGCATTACCGATATTACTAAACGTAAAAAATACGTCTCGAGCAAACCGCGGCCGGAAGTTCCGTTGCGCTTTTAATCTGGCGTTATTTAAACCGTGCAAATGAAAAGTTAGCGTCTGAGACTTGAAGAAGGCGCCGCCTTCCGACCACGGCAGCCAATGGAAAAGTCGGGAAATAACGTCTTCGTGGGAGGCGGGGCCGCGCAGCCTGCGGTCTCAGTTGAATAAAAATTCGCCTTTGAAGCATTCTTTATTTGAATATATTGCGGTCGGGCGAGATGTCCGTGGTGTTTTAATTACGGCCCGTTTATTGGCTCAGGCTGCAGATCCAGTTCTTGGTATACTTTATATTGCTTCCGGAATGTTTCAGTAATAATAAAAATATATTTTCGACTGTTATTCTCTAGAATAGTCATAGGTAATTATATTGTCAGTCGTGGTAAACGCAATACCTAACATTATCACATTTCGATGAGACTCTTTCAATCGAACGTGGTGGTGCTACTATTGTTACTAGGATTACTTTTGGTGTTGTTTAGATGTAGCCATTACGGGAGAGTGAGCCGAAAGTATAGATAGGCAAATATACTTAATTATTTTTGGTGTAAGTCAGATTCGAACTCACGACCTTTAAGGTCTAAGTCGCGGTAGTAACAATAACAGTCTACAGGCCACATCATATTATAATAAAAATATACATTTATAAATTAGTAATTTCTTGAACAAATATAACAATTACGTACTAATAAGGAGATTGATAATAACATAATGAAAACCAATAATCAACTGGATCTAATCACATTACAGAAACTATCAATTACACTACTGAATTGCAGCTATAATTAGCTTATTGTAGATCTACTTAAAACACAGTTGTCCTAATATAAGATAATTTGATGTTAATATTACTGTAAGTTTATTTTAAAAGTATATCTAAATACCTAAAGACAAAATTTCGCTGATTTTTTATCCTCAGTAACGAGAATAAAGATAAAAGATTTTTTTTTTGTTCTTTATCATCTACTTACTCCTCCTAGCTATATAGTATAGATTATAGAGTCTATCGTATTTCATACTATATTTTTAGTAGGGAAAAGTCTGGTATATAATGTAACTACCTTAAATTTTAGCCTACTACATCCTACAATATTTATTTCCCTACACGACATAAAAAGCAGCCTTAACTTTTCCTAATAGTGTACGGCAATTGCATTCAGTTTAAAAAAATATTGGTGATTAATGAAAAGTTATACGACGCGTGTATCTCAATATTACTCATAGAAAAAGGCATTTTCTTGTGACGTTACAAGGCTTAATTATTCATGTGAATATCCAC